TGTCTTATTTTTTGTGGAATATAAATATTTAATTTTAGTCCATGGGTGATTTCATCTTAAGTTATTTATGACTTAAAGTTTTTATTTAATTTTTAATTGTTTCATTTTTAAAAGTGTTATGAAAAACCCGTAGAGCAGCAATTGTTTTCTTTGAAGCAAGCCTGTTATTCGGAATCCTAAGACTCAATGATGTAAAAATTTTATCTTTTAGGGTGAAATAATATATCATTGTATCAAGAGAAATCTAAGTGATTTTTAGCAGTTTTTAAGAGTTTTTTCAAGTGTTTGGATAAGAGTGAGATGTTTACCTAATAAAGCAAGGTAAACATGCTGAAGGGTTTAGCTTAAGAATTTACAAAATTCACCAAATATGGTAAGGAGAATTCTAGCAGAAGGGAAATTCTTAAAGTACATTTAAGGATTATGCTTTAAAGTCAATACGAGGAGAAATCACTTAATTTGGTTAAGTGAAATGCTACTTGAAGTTTGGGTTAAATAGGGGATTATTCGTTTGATTTGGATCAAATGGATCGACTTTAGCTTTGAGGTCAAAGAAGAAGAAGCTTCCATTAGATTTGGGTCCAATAGAATAACTCGGGTTATAAACAAATTGAGCCGAGCCGGGTATGTGTTTGCTCATGTTTGAGCTCGTTTGTTAAGGGCTTGTTCGAGCTCAGTTCTAGCACGATTTGAGATTTTTCATTTATATTTAAGCTTGGTTCATTTAAAATGAAGGATGTTCATGTTCGGTTCATTTTTATGTTTGGTTCGTTTTATGCTTATTAAAACAGTGGGCCTTTTGATGACCCGGTTAGGAAAGTTGAGATATTAGATTTGACTTATGTTAAGAAAGGTAGAGGTAGACCTAAAAAGAACTCGTTAGGATATATTAGACATGATTTTTCTTTATTAGATTTAACTGAGAATTTGACTTTTAACAGGACACAATGGAGAAAAAAGATTCATGTAGCTGACCCCATGTAGTGGGACAAAGGCTTGATGATGATGATGTTGTTGTTGATCGTTTTATGCTTATCAAGCTTTAAACGAGCCCATAAATGAGCAAGCTTATCGAGCCCATAAACGAGCAAGCTTATCGAGCCCATAAACGAGCAAGCTTATTGAGCCCATAAACGAGCAAGCTTATTGAGCCTAAAACATAGCATATTTCATAGATGCTCCTTCCTATAATACTTGCAAAACTAGTTGAGTTAAGTGTAAATAAGCTCCTTCCACTAGGTTGTACCTTTCCACACTACAAGCCTGGATTAACATGTTCAGATTTTTTTCAATTTGTAATATTCAGAGAAAGGGTCATGACTCCCTTGGTTGCCCAAATTTGCCATCCAAGGAGAATCAGTCTGACAATATAAGGGAAAGTCATCATTGTCCAAGGCATAACAAGAATCCCAGCAGACCAACTGAAGCATTAAAGAACATCTAAATCTAAAATTTTAGAAAAAATCTGAAAGCATAGCTAGTATAGCTGCACAAGTTATTCTATCCACTGGTTGCCTAGTAACATAGCTGTGCAAAGACCGTCCAAGCGAATCTGTCATTGAAATACGAACCCAGTAACCCACATTCCATTTCGGAGATAAGACTTTTGTGAAGATAGAAGCTTTATATCATGGTCTAGGATACTAGGAGAACAAAACCCCATACATTAATATCTCATGAAAACCCTTCCACAATAATTTAAGCAAATCTAAGGCCATGAACAAGACACATAATAATCAACTAAGATTTAGTAAAGAGGAAAAAAATCATCAAGATGAGTTTGAACCCGTGATTACTTCTCCAACCAAATGTTCCACCTCCTAGCACGGCTCTTTCCACCGAGGCTTTTGTTTTTTAGAGGACGCTCTCTCAGGATTGGACCGAGCGATGTAGGGGAGAAATAGGAGTGTTCACTTGAGCGGTGACACTTGAGCGGAGAAAGAACAACTAGGGTTTCTTCTTTCAGGAATAAGAGGGGCCGAATAGCAAAATGTAGTGCAATTTGCGAACTCACTAGTCTTTGTACCGAACCGACGAACCGGGCCTGATCGCCTGAGTTATAATAAATTATAATAAATAATTATAAATATTTTTAAATTATAATAAATATAAATATTTATATTATATTCTTATCATTTAATGAGACTTAATTAATCGTGTGCTGGGGACAATTTCCACAAAAATCATAGCTGTTTGATGTAGATATTGATTTGGAAAGTCAAATTAAATTGGGTTGAATTTGATTCTGAATCGAGCTAGATCCAATTTTATAAAATTGGGCTTGAATTGATGCCGATTTGAGTCAAATTGGTTTCGGCGTGGCTCAATTAAAGTGATTGAGTTGAATCGGGCTTGATTTGGCCCGATTCGTCTCGATCCGAGTTGGCTCAACATGAAAATTTGTCTGCAATGCTCAAGTGGATCAGTGGCTTCACTCTTAAAGACAAAATGTGAAACAATTATATACATGAAAAAGTTGGAGTAGGTCTAGTGGTAGTGTTAGAGAGATTCTACTTAGATGTTTTGGACATAAAACGTCACCCTTCCAATGACCCGAATAGAAGAGTAGATGTGTTAGATTTGGCTTATGTTAAAAAAAAGGTAGAGGTAGACTGAAAAAGGCTTGGTTAGAAAGTACTATAAGTGATATTTTTTTCTTAGATTTAAATAAGAATTTTACTCTTGACATGACACAATGGATAAAAAGAATTCATGTAGCCGACCCCACATATTAGGATAAAGGTTTGATGATGTTATTGTTGTTGGTGTTGTGTTATTGTTCAAGTTGATTTGCCATCATGAGGCAATAGACTCTATATGCGCACACCAATATAGCATCATTAGGTTGCCACCAAGCTTGTTGGATATCGTGATAAGGTTCTATAGATCCCAAGTATAACTTAATATTATCACTATTGAACTACCCCTTGAATCAATATCGAGAGGTTGATGATCCTTTCAATTCCATAGGAGCTCATCTCATCAACTTATTGCCCCATTTGCATACACGATAGTATAAAAATTGCCAACCTATCTCATACGAAAAGCCTTTTTCAAGATCATTGAATTTTGCATCATATTGATTTTAAATACATATATTATTCACCATAAACATACTAATCGACATTATGCATCAATAGTAATCATAATTATAAGATGCCCCAATTTAAAATGCAACATTTTATTAGAATGTTAGTATACCACAACACTTCAAAAACATGCACTCTGCATAATTTATTGTTTATGTGATAATTTAATCATGATCGGATATAAAAATGTACTCCTCAATATGAGGAACTATCTTATGCATTGTTTACATTTAAGTCTAAAGTATATATAAGAGATGCATGCAAGAGTCTAAAACATATTTGATTTCTAAACTACAGATTGAGTATCTTACACAAATTGTAGGCCAACGCCAGGATATATTCTCACACAGTTCACAACAAAACCTTAATCTTTTCTTCACAATCAAAGCAACATGTACTTATATTAACAAAAATTTTAACTTGCCAACTCAAAATTGAAGTAAAAAATAACCTAAAAATACCCTTTTATCTGAAAAGGATCACTCCTCATGAAAAACCTTAATGCCCAGTAACTTCAATTATAATTGATTGTCAGAAGAATTACAAAAATAAAAAATTTCTCCTCAAAACTCAGCCTCCAAACTTCGGTTTCCCTTCCAGCCATCAGCTCATTGTTCACGGGATAAGGGAATGGAAATGGGGTACTGGTGCTTAGGAGCTTATATTCATACAAGGAGTTAGGTATTATTACAACTAACATATCAAATCCATCACAACCACTCAATTTTTGGTTAGCTTCTACAGATACTCCTAAGTGAAAATTCTGTTAATTAAAACTTAGGCCAAGTAATTTTAATATAATTTAATTTATATAATACTATTATTCTTACATTTATATATGTATATACATGCCCGAATGATTTGAAAGAAATATAAAATTTATAAAAATATTTTCAATGATTTTGATGATGTGTGAAAATTGAGGGATGAAAATTTTATGTCCATGTTGATCTTGTACCTGTATGTTAATTTTTTGGGTGTTATAACTGTAAACTGATTGCTTTGGTGGTTCTGGGTTTGTTGGTATGTTGCGAGAGTTTCTCCTTTGATTGATTAACCATGTTTAGTGGTTGGGCTAGTTAGAAGAGAATGTTTGGGTGATATTTAAATGTAGATTAATTAGTAAGACTGGGCAATATATGTTGGAAAAACTTGGAAAGTTTTTATGTAGGAAGATTAGCCCAGATTTTACTTAGTTATATTAGAAAAAAAATTGTCTAGGTTTTTTGGAAATATTTAAGGGAATGAATCCTATAATCTTATCAATCCAAATCAAGGGGCAATGTACTGAACCTGGACAAGGGAAGCTGAAATGAACTCGGCAGGAATCTGTAAATAAGTGCTGAATGTGCGACATTCTGGTTACGCTTTTCTCATTTTTACTATGAAAGCATATAAACCATGAATAATGTAGTGAGAATTAAGTGTATTAGAGCCTCAAAACATATAAACCTGGATACCTGGAATGATACTGAGAATTTAGCGTATTAAAGGAAGGGTGAGAGCATCACCCATTGATGATAAGGCGATTAATTACATAGATTTTGATGTTAGACATGTAAATACATGAGAATTATGTGATATATTTTATTAAAAAAATTGAATGCAATTTGCTTTTCTATCGTGTGGATTTTAAACCCCAAAAACTTTTTAGTACTGAAAATATGCTTTTCAAGTTTTGATACTTGAGTGGGTCAAGTAATTACTTATCTAAATGCATCTCACTTTATTAGGTCCCATATGATCCAATTGCCTAACATAGTTATGTGTTTTTGTTCCTTGATGAGTATATAAGGGCATCTTATTATGGCTATTTTTTCTCGTGCTTGTTTTCCATTCCGCTATGTTGCCTACATGCTTTAGTTTCATTGATTTCTCTTATTGATTCCTTAAAACTTTTTGTTTTTGTAGAATGTCTCTTGTCTTCGGTTAATCAAGAAGTTTGATCCTAAATATTTTCTACCAAAGTCTTTCATGCATGGTCATAATGGCTCCGACTCAGAGAATTTGGTGAAAACTGGGAAAAGAGGTCAGATTACTGATCAACTTGTTGAGGTTCCTCTTGAGCATAGAATATATGACATGATCGATGCAGAAGGACAGAAAGGAATAACCATTTTAGAGGTAATTGTTGTTTGACCCGTCTTGCCTTTCTGGATGTTATTTACACTTTAATGTATTACAATGAGCCAACAACTCCTATCTCACAATAATGTCTTACTTTCAGCACTTATGCTTGGATACATAGACTTCACATCTTCAATTTTGGAAAATGAAGCAAGTTGTTAGCCATTTTGATTGGAAAGATAGGTTTTGAAAACTTGTATGAGGAACTGTTTTGTTTACTCTTTTTAAATTGACTGATCCACAATAACATTTGGAACACCTTGGGCTTACTTGCCTTGAAAGTTCATTTGCATATATCATGATCTTAAACATTTTAATATGCGTTATTCGGTTGTATAATATTGAAAGATACATGAACCTATAATCTATGTTGCTTATTGAAGGAAGTGTCATGACCCCTAGAATTTGGATGGCAAAAATTGCCTAAGTCATGAAGTTTGTTTTGCTGGATTCTCTTGCATGAGATAGTGGCAATTCGAAGGGTATGACCATCGGTTGCGACGGATTTGGCACTTAGGAGTTGTTGCCCCTGAGTTGCTGCCAAAGACTCATCCGCATGAAATGACGATCACATTTGGCTCCTTCGCCCTCCCACACAGTTGATCATCATAAGGCATCCCAAAAAGACAATTGTGACAACATTTTAAAATGTAAATTTAATTCATTTAAAATTTAAATTGTTCGATTTAAGCTCGCTATATGCTGGGCTAAAATTTCAAAACTTAACTAGAGCTCCATGCATTGACTCTATGCTGACATTGACTCATCGAGTCACACAGCTACAATTTACCATTCATGTCAGTTTCCCTTGGCTGACGGCTTCCTCTATTCTCCTTCAGCCCACCTCATCTGACTTGTCACCGGGAGATAGAAACAGTGAGAAAACTCACTGGAAATGCATGAAAAGATAATTGAAAAGGATTATAAACATGTTAGTAACATGAGCATGATGTTTCATAAACAGGGCAGCTAGTCAAAGAAACATAAATGTAATACAAAACCTGTCATCATCATGCATATTATGGGCATCATCATGATCATTCACGTAATCATTTTCTTAGATACAACTTAATTTAGTGGCTGTCTCAGAACCTATCTTGTTAGAGAGCTAGGGCACTTGTGGTGTTGACAATTAACATTCCTTAAAGAGTGTTTTCACTTAGTCATGTCAGCTTGCGACAACAAAGTTCATCTCAAGCCTTCAAGTTAACGCATCTTTTCCATATAAGAATTTCATGTCATTGTTTACATACAATTCATGCATTTCATAGTTCATGTCAGTTACATCCACATAAATTGCCTTATATGAAATTTACATGAAAGAAAAAACTACCAGATAATCATATAATAACGTAAAAAAAGGAAAACTTAAGAGTTGTTGGATATGTAGGGGTTAGATAGAAAGGGAACTCCTAATAGCTTTAGGGTAATTTTCATGTAATGAAAACTTAACATTTGGCCCATGTAAATTGGTGTGGGTTGTATGCTAGGTCGACCGGGGTTTTTACTGGCCCAAAGACAGTACTTCCTCGTCACAAAAAAAAGAAGAAAAACTAACATGTTAAATTTCTTAGTTCCAACCTTAAATTCCACAAAGGTTTGGTATCATTTCTTTGTCTAAGCTGTTTCCCTCCTTGAATTATCATCCTTATAGTCATAGAGTCCTCTTTAGATGCCTTAGCTACACTAACCCTTTCTCTGTGTTTGGGTTCATTACTTACAACGACACTATGGAGATAGCTACGTCATTTCTAGTTTACATGTGACATATTCCTTTTTAATCCCTTTTCGTTGACACTACATGACATTTTCGTTGACACTACATGACAATTTTCCCTATGTTCATGCACCAATGTGGTTCACTGTATCTGTTTCCCTTGTCAACTCTAACTGTTGTGTCAGAGTGCTATTAGGACACGCTCCATGGAGAAAGCCTTGACCAGAAAAGACACTTACGAAATTTAACTGATCTAGTTCGTTCAGCTAAAGACCTTATATGTTATTTCTTGGATGCCAGCCCTAATGGGCTCTAAGAAAACTCTACCATGAGGAAAGTTAACTTTTTAGCCCTATGCTGGTCCACTTACCTCCCACCTATTTTATAAATTTCAAAGTTGGCAGGTCAATCTTGTTGGCCATCCTTTCTCGTTGGGCCTTGCTGACAACACATACATACCTGTTGACAAACTTACAAAATTGTTGTCATACTGTGGTTCTTGTTAGCTAGACTCATTGCTCCTCAATGGTTAGGAAAGTCAAAATACATCACAAATATCATAAAATATCTATTAATTGATACTATATTATTATGTATAATTTAATTAAAACTATTTTTATTTAATGATGTTATCTAACTATACATTTATATTTTATATTTTTAATTCCTTGCCCTCGCTTGTTGCAATTCCCATGCAAATAGCAAATCCTAGTCATTCTCTCATTCATATTTCTCCTTTATGCCATCCCGCTGAACCCTCGTGTTTCTCCCTTCGCCGCTTGACCCTCTCGTTTGGTCGCTCGAAAATACTCACTATATATGTTTATGAATAGGCTCGTTTTGTAATTCAAAACTATCGCTAGAAATGCTCATGAACATATTTGTTGGTAGGCTCGATAAAGCTCATTAATTAAGCTAATGAATATTTAGAAGTAGAGCTCATTAATAGTTTGATAAGGCTTTTTTGTTTAAAGCTCGATAATCACGAAACAAATCGACATGAACCAAACACAAATCATATATGAACATCCATCAACTTAAATGAACCATGCTTGAACACAAACAAGAAAGCTCAAATCGAGCTCAAGCGAACATGAAGAAGCTGATAATAACGAACTTAAATATGAAAAAGCTCATGCTTGGCTCTAATCAATTCGTTTTCATCCCTAAGCACTCTTGAAGTTTTGTTAAGCATGCATAAGACATATGTTGATGTCACAAGATTGATTATATGAGCCACTACGGAGTGTCCCTGGGGTTATTTGTTGAGATGCGAATGACATGTTGGATGAAGTTGCATGGAGAGGCGTGAGCAATGTTGTCATATTATGAATTGCGGTTGTAAGGGGCATAGTTGTTATGATTGTTGGAGTAGTAGATGCCATTGCCTTATACATAGGCGTGGGAAGGGTGTTGTGCCCTTATTGGAAAAGAATTATTTTTGCTTGGAAATTTTGATAAGTTGATATGGCATACTTTAAAACTTTGGGAGAGAGTTATGGAGCATAGGTTATGACGTGATACTTATGTTTCTCAAAATCAAATTGGATTCATGCCGGGTAGGTCTACTATGTTAGCTATTCGTTTATTGAGAGGTTGATGGAGAAATTTAGAGAGAATGAGGATCTAGATATGATACTTAATGATTTAGAGAAAGCATATGATAAAGTTTCAAGAGAAGTGCCATGAAGAGTTCTGGAGAAGAAAGGGGTTAATAATGCTTATATTCAAGTCATAGAGTTATGTCTGCATGAGCTATTACTTGTGTTAAAACACAAGGTGGTTTGACTAAGTATTTTCGTATTTTAGTTAGATTACATCAAGGATTAGCCTTAAGCCCTTATCTTTTTTGCTTTAGTCATGGATATTCTTACTAGACAGTTGCAAGAGGATGTACCCTAGTGTATGCTTTTTGCGAATGATATTCTTCTTGTTGATAAGACTAGAGAGGGAGTTGAAGGTAAACTCGAATTATGGAGGTCAACCTTAGAGTCTAAAGGTTTTTGTTTGAGTTGATCTAAAACCAAATACATGGAGTGTAATTTTAATAGTGAGTGGGGGTTTGTGATTTTGAGTGATCAAGTCATTAATAAGTGTACTCGTTTTAGATATCTTGGGTCTATTGTTCAGAATGATGGTGAAATATATGGGGATATTGTTAGTAGAATTCAAGTTGGATGATTGAAGTGGAGGAATGCTTTGTGCTTTTTGTCTAATAGAAAAGTACCACTCAAACCTAAAGGAAAAATTTTATAAGATGGTGGTGAGACTTGCAATGCTTTCTGGTGCAGAATGTTGGCCATTAAAAGAGAAACATAATATTAAGTTTAGTGTTGCTGAGATGAGGATGCTTAGGTGAATGAGTGGATTTTCTCTTAGGGACAGAATTTGAAACGAGTATATCCGTGAAAAGGTTGGAGTAGCTCCAGTGACAGATAAGATTAGAGAGTCGTCTTAGATGGTTTCGTCATATAAAACGACGGCCTTCTGATATCCATGTTAGGGGAGTATATGTATTAGATTTGACCTATGTTAAGAAAGGTAGTGGTAGTCCTAAAAAGATTTGGTTAGAAAATATTATAAATGACCTTCTTTATTAGATTTATATGAGAATTTGACTCTTAATATGACACAATGGAAAAAAAAAGGATTCATATAGCTGACCCCACAATGGGATAATGATGTAGGCAAAGCCCCCCTGCTTTACCGGTTCTCCTGGATGGCTGTTTGACTTCTACTCTTGCTCCTTGGCTTCCCGGTTTTCCTGCATGCTGTGATTCTGTTGCCTTTATTTGGCTCTTTTCTGCTTATGTGCTTCCGGGGTTCATTTCCCCTTTTGGCCTCTTCGGTTTCCTTTGCATGTCCCGATTCTTTCCCCTTGGCGCCTGTCCGTTCGTTGGCTGTTCTTGCGTGCCCCTTCGTGTGCTGCTCCTGGCAGATGGCTTTTGGTCTTTTAACTTCCTCTGTCTTATTGGTTTGAGTCAGAGGCTGTTTGGTTTCTTTTCTTCACCTATATATTGGGGCTGTTTTGTGGCATTTAAGAGAGAATTATGGACGATTTTTGGAGCATGAAAACCTGAGGGTTCTTCTTTGATAGCTTGCGAGCTATGTTCCCCTTTCTCTTCTTCTCTCTATAACTTCGTCTTGGGCTTCTTATTTACTTATTCTCTCCGCAAGTTTCCACTCCATTTGTATATTTCTTCTCAATCAATGAAAAGCTTTTAGGTGTTTTTATGTTCTAAGATTGTGTTTGTTGTGTGAGTTGTATGTGTGGTCCATT